TCCCCGCCCCCCGGCCCCTCCACAGGTGCTGGCTGGCCGTGCCCAGGCTGCCTGCACCCATGCCTTTTGCCCTCTCCAGGGGATGCGTGGGGTTCCTACAGATTGCCGGTCCTCTGAAAGCACCGGTGCTCACATCCTCCCTCTGTGCTGCTGGTGGCACCAGCTGTCCCATGTGCCGACAGGGTGGGAGTGGTCACCCTGTGGGACCCTTGCTCTCAGCAGGACTAGCCAACGAGGCTGGGCAAAGATGGGAAGGAGATGGGAAATCCCCCTTGGAACTCTTGTGCTGGCTGATCAGCCTCACCAGGGTGGAGGGACACCCCCCGGCTTGTCTGTCCCAGCCAAAGAGCCCCAGACCTGGCACGAATCTTGTGCCCTCCTGCCGTGCCAGCCGGCAGGACTGCGGTCCCTTAGGGCTGTGTCAGGGCTGGCCCTCCAGCTGGAGGGAAGGGGCCCCAGGCTGAAACCGGGAGATGCTGCGCACGGATCAGCCCCATCAACCGGCCTGCAAAACTGTGCCGCAGCTCCCCGGGATGGCCCCGTCAGGGCTGGGGGTGGGCTGCCGGGGAGCAAAGGCTGCCAGCCGAGCGGGGAAGTCGGGCAGCCAGCGTCACGTGGCTGGGGAAGAGCAAACGTACCGCTTGCGTTTGGGAACGTGGAAAAAGTGATGCGGACAATGAGAGCCCTGTTAGCCTGACCTCCCTGGCACATGGACACGGAGCACGTTCGGAGAGGGAGATAGAGAAACGGGGAAACGGCTCGTGCTGTGCCATAGGGAGCTCACACTGCCAGCCCGACTGCTGTCCTAGGTTGGGTGCGGGAAGTGCCACTGGCCCGTGCAGGCACCCCAGCAGGGCATTTCACTGGGAAATTGCAAGATGAGCAGCAGAAGCTGAGGACAGGCTGAGGGCAGAGGAAGTGCAGTGGAGACAAGGGATGCTGGAGCCTGAGCAGAGGAAAGCCATCACCCCGGAGAGGAATGCGGAGGGTGGCAGCGAGCTGGGGTTAGTGCAGAAATAGATGGCAGAAGTTTGAGCAACTGAAGGACTGTGAGGAAGAGAAATCCACAGTGGGCTTTTAAATACAGAGGCTGAGGTAGCTGACCCGGGGGTGCCAGTGGGGCTGCAGTAGGACGTCCCTGCCCTGTCCCAGGGCACCTCCTGCCGCTGCTCTAGGGGTTGGGGTCCTGGGCTGGGGGACATTTGTCCTGGCTTCACACAGCCATATGGCTCTCACACTGACCACCACGGTGTTGGGACGTGGTGGCTCTCCCAGCATCGGCTGTTCTGGCTGCACCCCATGCCCAGCCAGATGTGGGGCCAGGCGCTCATCTGGCAGGGCTGTGAGACCACAGGCACATGTGGGGCTGCCCCACATCACTGCAGGGCTGGGTCTGAGACCTGTCATCGAGCCAAGCGGTCTCACTGACACCGATGATTTCAGTAATCCTGTTCAGTCTGAGCATACTGGATCCTGGAGGTCACACTGCTGGGGCTCGGTGGAGAATGGGGCTCCGAGGGGGCTTGGTGCTTTGCTGCACAAAGCCCAAGCACTTTCTCAGGTGCCGTGTGGTTTCTGGTCCTACACACTTTGTTCCTAAATGCATGAGCTTAAATTTCCCTTGTAGTCAAGGCTACATGATGCCATTTTACCAGGCTGTCGAGGTCTGTCCCCATCACAGTTCTGCACGCTCCTGCCCATTTGTGTCTGTGCAGACTGTACCAGGAGAGGACTTTTTTCTTCCTTCGGACACGGTTTTGCTTTGAAAAGCATGTGATCCTCACCAGAAAGCCCACTCAATGGTGACTTCCCCATTGTAACCACATTTTAGTTCCAGCAGGTGACCAGTTTTAATCCACTTAGTAGAAGGTGCACTGATTTTGTTGAGTGCTAATTATTCATTAAAAGGTGGTGCAAGATGAATTGAATGCCTTCCAGTCTCAGCCTGTTATATCAACACAGTTACTCCAATTAACCAAACCTGTGATCTCATAAAAGGTCATACCAGCTTTCTGACACGGGCTATTTCTGCAGAACTGGGGAGATTGGCATTAATTGCGCTGCTGTCCTTTAGCGTTGTATCGACCCCGTTGCAAAACAGCCTGGAGCCTGCCTGCAGTCCACATCAGCAGAGATTATTTTGCTCATTCGGTGCACGTGCTGGTGAAGCTTTAGCCCTGATGCGCTTCCAGCTTTCCCAGTCTCCCAAGGTGTGTTACGGTTAGCAGCAAGAGGGCCCGAATTTATGCGTCGTGTGCAAAGTGGTATAGCGCTGAGGATTTCGAATGCTTCATTTGGGCAGGGGGGATGTCGCCTCAGTGACCGATGGGCGGAATAAGAAGTGGTTTATTACTGCTATGAGATGGTAAATTCATCCCTTCGCTGCTTTCCATAGAGAGCAGTGATGTGGATGGGGCGTTCCTGCCCTGCCCGCCCCTGGCAAGCCCAGAGACCCCCTTCCCCGAGCCGCTGGCAGGGCTGGGGTGGCTCTTTGCGCCTGCTCTCCTCTTTCTCCTGCCGTAACAGGCTGATTAAACGGCTCAGCCAAGCGTTTCCCTGGTGCCTGCCCACAAGTATGCTTCCTGCTGGGCTTTGTTTTGTTCTCGCAGTGCCCAAGCAGGCAGCTGAGGTGCGGGGAGCCCGGAGCCAGCTCCCACCAACCCCAGGGCTCATGGGCTGCCCTGAGCCAGGGCGCGTTCCTGCTTGTGTCTCCATCAGCACCGTGGTGTCCCCCATGCCCCAGGCTGTGACAGATGAGTGAGCCGGACCCGGTGCTGATGTGATTGCCCTGAGGGGGATGATGTGCTTCCCACCACAATATCTCGCATTGGCCTGGACGGGTGGTGTTGGTCCTTGTTAGCCCTCACCCTCTCTCCCTGAGCATCCCTGTGGCCACAAGACACTCATCCTACAGCGGCACCTCCAATGTGATGCATGCCCGAAGGGGCGGGCAGGCAGCAGGGCTGGGTACCGTCTTCAGGGGGGTTTGTTGGTGCAGTGGGCATGGAAAAGGGGCTGTCTTTGGGCACCGACCTGGTTCATCCTTGCCTTGGGTCCAGGAGGCATTCCCAGAGGCTGGAGGAGTGACCTGGCCTCCATCATCTGGAAAAGGGAACAGAGCAGGAACAGGGCTGATTCCTGCTATTGGAGCCTTTGCAGAAACCCTGCCCCAGGTGCCAGCAGGGTGCTGGGTCGATCGTGCCAGCCCCTGGCTCTCTGTTGGTGGCCAGGCTGACGGTGAGACCCCAGAGAGGCTGTGCTGTCCAAGGGGGAACTCCCCACCCCCTTCGCCCTTCCCAAAGCCACCACAGGGACCTTGCTGTCACCCTGCAGGTGCCGAGGGGCCAGGAGCCAAGGGGCAACACTCAGACAGGCCTTAGTGCAGGGAAAGGGGCTCCTACAGCGTGGCACCTAAAGAGCAGCTGTGGTCCCCGAGGATGCCCCGATACACCCTCGCAATCCCACCCAACTGGCACGTAGGCAGCGAGCCATGAGAGAGCGGGGATGAAGGCTCGCAGGGAAGCGCGCTGGCACCGTGGGGAGGGTCTGCGAGAAGGATCCCTGCGGCACAGCCCCACGCTGGGAGCACGTGCGGGGTTTGCATTCGTTTTCCTTCCTCTGTAACCCTGTAAGCTAAACACTGGAGTCTTAAATCACCCCTGCTTGTGAGTGAGCCAGACCTTACTCTTTTTAATGCTGTCTAATGACAAGCACAATCTGCGTGAGCGCAGCGTGCAGGATCTGTGCTCGGGGTGGGGGAGGTAGGGCACAGAGACATATTTCTGGTGGGTCTGTCCTGGGGAGAGGGGGAAGCTCCCAGTTTTGGGGGTATGCTTTCCCAATTGTGGAAGGGACTGGCTGGCAGAGTGACGTGAGGCTGCGGTGGCAGGAGGCAGGCGGGTCGCCGTGCTGGCTGAGCATGGGAACTTTGCCATCAAAAGCCCAGCGAGCCCAGGCTGGACCAGGGCTGACATTGCCCATGTAGAAATGCTGTTCCTGGGCTGCTGCGGCACCCGTGGGGTTAAAGCAGTCCCCTGACGGGATAAATGGGAATAGAGCATGGGAAGGCGGTTCACAGAGAAGTGTTTTCACCGTTGTTAGCCGATGGGGCTGGTGCAGGAATACCACATCTCCCTCAGGTATTCAGGGAGCCACAGATGTTATTGGACGGCTGGGGAAATGCCGCACAGGGAGGAATGTGAAAGGCTCCGACTGCCTTGCTGCTCGCCATGGGCAGGAACGTGGGCTGGCAGCCCCCCACCGCCAGTGGCCGGCGGGCCGCTCCGGGGGGAATAAGCTGCTGGG